CACACACACACACACACACACACACACACACACACACACACACACACACACACACACGAAACTTCACTTCACAAATAATATCATCAGTTGAACGTGTACAGTGTTTTCCACAGATCTGAAATATACTTGGGGGGTTGAGGTGACGTGCCTTTGTGACGTGCAACAACATTAACATTAATATGAACCTTTCTGTTGGTCGCTTGTTAGCAGACCCTTCACGCGATGGCAGAGCGAACTTTACATTTTGGAGTTAAATGCATCAATCTGGTGCACTTTGAGGGGAAAATAAAGGGACTAGATCTATGGAAACACCTATATGAAACAGAACTGTATACATTTAAATAATCATAAAATCATGGCCATAACCAATAAACTACCATTTCCAATATGAAAAAACATTGAAACTTGTTTATTTATTTATTTTTGGTTCATTTATAGTTGTGAGTGTGTCTGTGCTCCTGAATCAGCCTCTCCTGTCTCTCTCCTCTCCCCCTGCTCCTCTTTGAGGCAGCAGCAAAGACTAATTTTAGCTCTCAACAAGTTTTAAAAGTGTATCTTACCTTTTCTCACCTAGTTAACTTTTTATTCATGCATATTTTACTAATCACTACCCCCTCAAATGGAAATATGTGTTTACATATAAATGGTGACCAAACCGTTTGATACCCACTGAGAACTTAGACTAAGTTAACTATCTAAACACTCAGAGAGTCCTTAACCTCGCCTGAGCTGAGGTTATCCCGAGCTTGAATGACACACATGATCTGTATGACAGTGACCATGTAGACAGCCAGTCACCCTGTGTGAGGCAGGCCACTTAACAGGCCTGGCCATCGGGAAACCCCCCGGTCCTCCCGATGGCCAGTCCAGGACTGGGTACAGGAGGCGTAGAGCAAGGGATCATTGTCCAAAAGTTAATCGATCGCAGATGGCGTTGTGGTCGCGGACGAATACAAAAATTAAAATAAACCTAAATGGGTCGCCAAATATACTTGGGCGGCCATTAATATACCTGGGCGGCCCGCCCAAGTAAAGTCTATGTGTGGGAAACCCTGGTGTATAGGAAAATAAATCACCCAAGAGTTGTTGCTATTTTGCATTCCTGTTGAAAATGACCTTTTCCATGCCTTGATATTTATTATGTTTAGTCAAATTTGCATTCACTACACGTAATACACTACCTGAATATATTCTTTAGTTTTGATATTGACAGTAGGAAATACCTGAGAAAATGTATTCCATATGTTTTGC